CCGGCTCGCTCCTGCCGCCGGAGCCGCGCGCCCGGGAGCGGAGGTTCCCATCTCCGGCCGCCCTGCAGGCGCCGCGGCCCGCGGGCACGTGCAGAGCACGGGAAAGGTTTCTCTCTGACAGCTCCGCCCGCTCCAGGGCCCTGGCAGCTGCCCTCCAAAGATAACAGTTCATGCAAATCGCTCCCAAGCCGGTCAGACTTGAGACATTAGCAAACGGTCTGACCATGAGAGCCACCCTCCACGCCTCCCACCCTGCTCTTCAAAGCTGCGTGGCCTGCTTCCTGCAAGCCACCCAAGCGGGCTGGCCTCAGACCCCAAGTTTCCCTTGCTGCAACGCTCTGCGCCTGAGCCGACGCAGGACAGCCCTGCTGGCTTCGCTGCGTGCACGGCCCTTTGCTGCACAAATAGCCCCGGAGAAGCTGCGGCACCAGCTGCCGGCCAGGTAGGCAGGAGCCTGTCTCCGTCGCCGGGGCCCAGGGCGATCCGAATGCAAGAACGGCATGCGGGCCTGCTGCCCGGGACCAGCGCGGCCCACCATCAAGGGGCAGATAATAGCAACCCAGGACTGCAGCCTTCGGGGCCTGTCGGCTCAGGGAGACGGCGGAGCGCTGGCTTGTGGGGCGATGAAGGTTTACACAAAGCAGATGATGTAAGTGAATCCTGCACAGTATAAAATAACCATTAGAGGCACATGGACTTTGGCCCCACAAGTCTGGAGCCCAGCGCAGCTTTCCCTTTGATAGGGCTGCTCTCCTGTCCCGGCGCCGCCTCAGATACTGTTTCCAGCACGCTGATGAAGCCATTTGGCATGCTTCAGATAAAGGGAGAATCCGGGCAAAACGTGTCTCCCCTTATTTCTCTCCTCGCTTCTATAAAAGCCAGGCAGGGAGAAACCAGGCGAAGCGGGGCTGGGGACACGGCTCCGAAGGATACAGGATCTCTCACATCACATGCAGCCCAGCTTTCCACGGGGCTCCTTCAGCACAGCCACGTTAAAATTAATTGCAGCAGTGTGTACTGGAGGAAATCTCCCCGAGCAGAACCTGATCGCTCGGCTCGCAGAGCACCAACGCCACGGGAGAACAAAGGAAGCGGCTTTTAAGCGACATTCCTGACCTGACAACAACACGTTTCTGTGGCCGCCAGCTCCGTCGTTACCACCCCGTGCACGCCACTCCTGGAGGAGAGCCCAGCACCGAGGTCCAGTCCCCTCCTGGCGCGCTCTTGCTGCCACAGCCCAGGAAGCCACTTGCTCTGCCAACGTTTTTCTCCACCAGGGAGAGTACTAGGAAAATGGGACTCGGGGCGTACTGGGAGGGCAGGGAACAGCTTTCAAATCAGGCTCTCAAAATCAGGGCTTTGTGGGGACAACAACAGATGTAGGGACAGCACAGTGTAGTTAGAGAGGAAAAGAAGAAAGACATCCGACGCTACTAAATATGAGCAGGAAATGCTGAAAAACGGGCTTCATCATGGAACAAGCTCCACTGGTGTATGGAAAACCAAGACTAGAAGCGTTTCATGGGCGCGGGGTGGCACCTGACGGTCCACAGGGCTGCGAGGACACCGGACTGCAGTGCCTCCGTGATGGGCGCAGAACGGCAGTGTGGATCAGACAGACATCGGGGAAGAAAGCAGATGCCTTTGGGGGGCACGGACACCTGGCTTCATGAGGCAGGAAGGGACCAGTCCCCTCCACCGGGTTCTAGGAGAGATAAAGCCAGTCTTCTGGTAACATTTCCCACCAGGCACAAGTGACTTAGGAGCCTAAATCCACTTTCAAAGGTGACTTCTCATAAGAACGGACGCTCGCTGCCTCAGCCGCAGCCGTCTAGGCCCAGCTCCTGCCTCTCGCTGGTGGAGCAGGTGCTTTGGGGAGGGCGAACAGGGCACATCTATAATTTTCCACCCCTGCTCCTCTCCCATTGAAGCTTCCAGCAGCCAGAGCTTTAGCCAGGTCCAGTTCAGAGGCTTCCCCCGTCTCCATGCTCAATACCCACTGATGGACCCGCCTCCAGGAACGGATCCAATCTCCTTTTCAACTGGGCTAAGCCTCCAGCTTCCACAAGTTAAATACTCACTATGTGGAAAAAAGAAAGAAGGGAGGAAAAACCCTCTCCTTCTCCAAGTTTTAAAATGAAACGATTAAGTAGCAGGTTTGTGTTTTGTGACACAGCGAGTAATAAATCCCTACGGACTTGATCTGCACCATTTAAATATTTTGGAAACCTTTATCATGTCCCCCCTCCAGCATCCTTTCTCTAAGCTCTTTTCTAAGTCTCCCAAGTGCCTAAGTCACTTTTTTCAATGGGACTTGGGTTCCTCAGTCACCTTCGTGCCAGTGGCAACTGATGGCCGAGTGCTGTGGCTGCAGACAGCCGTCTGCGCATCTCCTCTAAAGCCGGATGACATTTTAAGGTGAAATATCGGCGCTCTGGGCAGGTCGAGTGAAAACAACACTTCTCCCTCTGTCGCTTCCTTCGCCACGCTCTCCTCAGCCAGTCCTTCCCCTCCAGGCCAGCCCGCACAGATGCGCCGGGAGGCTGCAGTCACCGGCGGAGCCAGCCGCATACAGCAACAAGGAAGACACCAGCCAGGATCCCAGCTGGGAAGCTAGTTTTGGGACCAGGAGAACTGGGTGGAAACACGTGGGTGGAGGAAGCTGAAGTCCTGAGGGGATCTAGATGCTTCAGCAGAGAAGAAACTGCCTGATACGCGTCTCTTGTACTTGCTTTACCCACCGATTTCAGCAGCTCCTCCCGATGCATCCTGGGGTCAGGGGAGAGAGAGAGGTCCGCAGGCTGCACGTCTTCACCCGGAACGTGCCACGTGCCGAGTCCTAAAACAAGATGCGGGACGAGCTCTCCCTGGGCACAGGCGTGGTTCGGAGAGGAGCAGCCCTTTGCTGCTGTTCTGCTTTTCCTGGCCAGAGCCGAACCAGCGGCTGCAACAATTTGCACCAGCTGAAATCCTGGGCCCCTCTCCTCCGTCCTGGTAAAAGTGTTGTTTCTTTCTTATATTATGATAATTACTTTTGAAAACCTGGCTCATTTTTACTCTTTATGCCTGTAAACATTTAGTCCAAGGCTTTGTTAGATTTGTAAATAAATTTCTCCATTTTCCCTTTACGCTGTACTTGCTGTTTTTAATCTCCATGGCAGCCATGGAGAAAGCGGAGCGGGGGAGGACAGGAGAGGAGGAGGAGGAGGATGCCTGAAGAGTTTGTCCAAAAACACATTAAGCATTTTCCCAGCATCTCCAAACAAACAACAATCCTCTCGCTCCCTAAAAGCTAGCTCCACATCCTCTCACCTGCTTCCCCCCCGCCTTTGGGGCAGGGACTCATCTGTGTGTGGGTCTGACACCATGTGACTAATATACATTTCAAATCACGACATCAGTAAACGTAAGCCCGGATCCGGCAGACTGTTGCAGACGTACCTAACTGGTACCAGCGGTTCCTTCGATTCCTCCGCACCTCCATAAAAACAGCCTGAGGAGCGAGCGACTCGTGGTAGCAAAGGTAAGTCGTCTCTGAAAGACAGAAACGCAAGGGGCAGCTCCCTAGAGTGCTCCAAGTGAGGAGGTTACAACGAAGTAGGCATAAAGGCAATTTCAGGCTCAATGTCTAGGGCAGGGTTGCTCAACCGGTGGCACAGAAAGCCTCTGTGGGGCACAGCGGGCTGGGGAGGGACTGAGCAGGGAAAGGGGATCAGAGTTGCGCTGGGGAAGGGCACAGGGCTTATCCTGTGGCACACCTGCTGAGGATTTTGGCCCTGCTGATACAGGGACGTGAACAGTGCGATGTTCAGGACGTGGGGAAGCCTCCATCAGCTGAGACGCTTCAAACCAGAGAGTCCTCTGCACAGAGATGTATTGTGAAGCACTCCCTAGGGCGGAGTTGTATTATTATTATTATTATTAGGACTAGATACGGTGTTGTAAGGAACAAGCCTTCATTATCCAGAAGAGGTGAGAAGACCTCTTTCCATCTGAAGCATCTCCAATGCAGTGACCCCCAGATAGCTAATGTGGGGTTGGGGGTTTAGCATCTATCACTAAGATGGAGGCCAGGAAAATAGCTAGTGGAGGTCACATCCAAAGTTTTGTAAGGTGTAGGGACAGAGGAATGTTTTCCAAGGCCTGCCTTGGTAATTTCTTTGTGGGTGAAAGCCTACCCAGCAAACGTGAGCTGTGATGGATGGCCTAGGAATAGAGACAGCAGCAGACAAGCAAGGTGAAGATTCAGTACGTGAGAATAAAGGAGAAAACACTACCCATGCACACTTTCTCCAAACAGATTTTCTATTTATTCATTTCCTTACAAGCCCTTTACTGCAGTCAGAGTGACTTATCTTCCCAAATCAACTTCTGAGGCAGAGAGCAAGCGGAGTGCATAGAAAGTGGTAAAGATGTGGTTATCGGACCATGTAACAGCACAGCAGATTCCTTCCATTGAGGCTTTTGCTCTTTCTATGCAGGAAGTGCCTATTACCGTCATCAAATGAGCCTTAATGTCCTCTGCTAGGGAATGCTCTCTTGGCTTACAAACCTCTTCTACACTAATCGGAAGGCCAAGGCATAGTAATCATGGACTTAAACGGTTTTTATTCTTTGCATCTTGGATGGAAACAAATAAAGTGGCAGATTTCCTGTAGTCAAAAGTGTATATAGGACGAGTGCAACAACAATGCTTACATTTCTATAGCCAAGGTCAGACGCAATGTCTCAACTCCTTGCCAGGCCTGTGAGGCAGAATTATCTTTATTTTCCTTAGGGAGAAATGGAGACAGGAATATCAAAGCTTTAAAAGACCTGAAAATGAAGGCGGGGATCTATCCGTTCTGCCATCGGAGAATTTAGCCAGGAAAGTGGCAGAGCTGGAGGAGGAGGGCAGGCGTTTGCAGGGGAGGGAGCGCATGCGGTCTGCGTTTTCTGCAGAGATGTTCTGCATTCCATCAGCAAAAGCGAAGGAAGTGGATGTGAGCGGTGGACTAGAGAGGGGCAGTGGGAGGACAGATGAAGTGCTAGGATAGAAGAGCATGCAAGTCAAGCATGGCAGCGAGGGTGGAGCTGCACACAGAGACCGCGCGGGAGTCGGAGTCGACTGATAATGGCAAAAAGTAAATGAAAAAATCAGAATCGTTGCTGGGCTGAAACACCAAGCAGCCAGAAGTCCTAGCTCACTTCATATTTTAAATATGGTTCTTACTGGGCGTAACGCAACCTCTGAGCACTGCTGGGATACAATCGCTAACCAGCAACATCAAGGTGATCGCAGGCCAGCAAGCCCGAGCAAAGTTTGGAGAAGACAAAGTCGCGAGAGTGACCAAAGTATACACAGAGAAGTGCAGACCGCGACTCAGGCCCCAGGACTGGCAGCACATTAGACACGATCCATCCAGACGTTGGAGTCATCCAGGATAAGGACAAGGATGAAGAAGAGAAGAAAAAGGAACCAGAGGGAGGGGACCTGGGCAGCAATAAATCACCTGCGCAAGTACGCAGTGGAGCACGGCTGGCTAGCCGGCAGTCCTGCAGAAGGACCTGGGGGTGCCAGCGGATCATGAGCTGAATGCGAGTCAAGAGCGTCGTGCTGTTGCGAAAGAGACCCAACGTGGGGACATGAGCAAGAATGTCATATGCAAGACATGTGAAGTAATCCTTCCACTCGACTTGGCACTAGTGAGGCCTCAGCTAGAAAACTGCACTGAGCTCTGGGCACCACAATTCAAGAAAGATGTGGAGCAAATGGAGGGAATCCAGCGGATGGCAACAGAAATGATCAGAAGCATCGAAAGCAGGACCAGTGTGGGACAGCTGCAAGGGAAGAGGAGAGGCTGGAGGGGAGTCATGACAGTGGCCTTTAGCTATGCAAGAGGTTGCTGAAAGAAGGAAGACTGTTTTTCATTGCCCACCGGGGATAGGGCAGGAAATGACGGACTTAAATTGCAGCAAGTGAGATTTCAGTTAGACTTTAGGGAAGAATAATCTTTCAAGCTATAAGGATAGTTAAGCACTGGAATAAAAAGTCTTCGGAGCTTCCTCGCTGGAGGTTTTTAAGAGCAGGTGAGACGCACCCATTAAGAATCATTTAAATACAAGAGATCTGTCCTGGGCAGGAGCACAGACTAGACGATTTCTCAAGGTCCCATGCAGCCTTGTTTTCTGTTGTTCTATGACTTCCAGGAGGCTCAGTAAAGCTAAATGAAAAGAGGAATTTCTATCCTGAAAAAAAAAAAATTCCAACATTTCAAATGTGTTTTCAAAAAAAATCTCCTAACTTCTCCCAGGACAAAAATTAGGATAAATGCTCGTTTGGAAGCGTTGAGACATTTTTCTCAGCATTGCTCTGGTTTCTCTCCAGATGCCCCCAGGATCGTGTCCGGCTGGGCCAATACCGTGGCAGAAGGCAGAGCCCCAGTGCATTCTGGGAGAAACAAGCCGAGCCAGAAAGTTCAGCCCCCAGAGAAGACGGCCCGCAGCACTTGGACTACAAAAGTCTGAGAGGCACCGCAACAGCTCAGGGAAAAAGGACTCATGTCAAATTAATCTACAGCCAAATACTTCATTTTCATTTTCTAGGAAGAAAATAAAAAAACCCAGCAAGGGGGACACAGAGTAACGCTGAGCTGACCCGGAGCCAAAGATCATTTGCATTTTCCAGGAAGAAAATAAAAAAAATAAAAATGCGGAAAAAAATAAAATTAAGTTCTGTGGGAAGTTGAAGTTCAGCAGAAACTGTCATTTGTGTTGGGGCAGGGGGGATTTTAGCAGAAAATTCCTGCCCAGCTCTAGCTGGAAGCAAGGGGGAGAGGCCGAGACCAACGTGGTGAGGTGAAGCCCTTTATAGTGTCATGTTCAAAGAGGGAAGTGAAGAATTTGGGAAATCTGTCTGGAACTCCATGAACTATCCAGGAACGTGATTTACCAGCTGCTTAATATGAATCAGATGCATTTTACATGGTACGCTCGGGTCGGCCTTTCATTGTCATTGTTTTCTTCCCTCGGCTAGGAGCCGGGTGGGGAAGTGCAGCCCGATGACAGCAAGTTCGGAGACGGACATTCGCGTTGCACCTACAGCTTTGCTGGCCCCAGCCTGCGAGCGCCTCCAGCCTGGCAGACCAGCACACCCGCGTGCAACCCCGGCGGGCGCGGATGTTCGCTGGGTGCAGCTCGCCGCCCAGAGAGACGGAGCAGGAAAGCCCCATAAATTAGTAGCCTGGGCGTCCCTTCTGTACTTTCTGCAGCGCGGGAAAGTACCCGTCTTCCCCCTCCCTCCACTTGTTTTCTTTCTTCTTTCTTTCCCCCCTCTGCAGTTCTCCAAAACTGCTGGCATTTGGGGCAAGTCAGACATACAGCTACCCAGACGAAAACGTGCGTGCAATTGCGCGCCTAGCTTGTTTAGAAACACGGGCTGTTATTTTCCATCCAGCAGAACCTAGAGGAGGGGGATCTGTGACGTTGTTTGTTACAATCATTTGCATTTGACTGTGTGCAAAAGCTTGATTTATACAACGACTTTCCTTCTGTATTCAGTATCACCATGTGTCATTGATTATATATTTAAATAGCAGAAATGAGTTAAACCTCATGACTTCCTCCCTTTAGCTTCCCCGTCAGAAAGGGCCGTCTTTAACCATTATACAAACTCCTCAAAAAATAGCTTGAACCAGAGCAGGGAGCTGGCTGCATCCTCAGGAGACAGAAAGACAAGTAATCAGGGACTGAGGGCTGTGCCTAGTCAGCAGTGCTTTCCCAACATGCAGGAAGATGCTTTTCCTACCCAAACTGTTCCTGCCTAAGTAAGCTGAACAAAACAAGGCAGACTGCCATGTACAAAAAAAAAAGCACAGCTTCCCTTCCCGGGGATCCTGATTTCAACCTGCTCCAGACATCAGTAAAAGAGCTTTCCTGTCTCAGCATCTGCTTTGCATGCTCATTAGAGACGCCGGCCCTCACCGTCATCATCATCGTTTGCAGCCATCAGCCTCGGGAGACCGTGGTGGGTCACCGGGCGGGCACCACCACAGCTCTCGCAGTTCCCAAAGCAACGGGCTACCGAAGTCGTAAGTGGGACTGACTTATGTGCGCTTCGGCCTTCCTTTCTTTCCTCTGGGAACAGGCAGCCTTTCTAATACAATCCCTTCATTTCCCATCACAGCAGCCCTCAGCTTCTCCCAGGTCCTAAAGAGCCGCTATGAACAGACCCGACCCCACAGCCCTGAGGGGTGGGCAGTTCCAGTCTGCTCTGTTCTTGGGGGTCAGGCCCCAAAACCAGACTCAGCTGAACGGACCTCTGTACAAGGCCCACCCCGCTCCTCAGCCCGGTGCCTTCCAGAGGCAAGCCTGTATGAGTGCAGCGGTGGCTCTGTCTGGGTCAAAGCTCCCCTGCACCCTAAACCAGATGGATCCTAATAGTTAAGGGGTGAGAGAGGGAAGTCAGAGCTGGAGCTTGGCCTTGGAAGGCAGGAAAAAGTGGGGTTTAAGCCAAGTTTTAAAGAGGGAAACCAAGAACTGGGGAAAGGACTCCA